TATTCGCAAAGAATTGATGTTGTTTATTTATTTATCAATGTTTTATTTGTTCTTGATTATTTTTATTTGTTTTTTTTTTCTTTTTTTAGTAGAAGTTTTTAAAAAATAAAAAATGACTGGTAAAGTAGTTTTTTTAGTACATTATATTTTTATAACAGTGATTGTTTTTAGAACAACTATTGTTTTATTTATCAGAACAATTTGAAGCAATAGAAGACCTATGTAATAAGTTTAATTCATTTTATTATTTATATTTTATTTTTTGTTTGGAGAAGGATTAATGAGAATAAAATTTTTTAGACAGGCAAGCTGACAGCAAAATAAGTATGTTTTATTATATATTAGCTAAATTATCAGATTAGTTTTAAGTAGGAATACCATTTTCTCTAATTGCTATTGCTTTAATTTATTGTTTAACAATTACGTTACTAAATTAACAAATACATTTTTATTAAAGATTATTTTTGTTTTGATTTTATTGCTTAATTTTTTTTTTTAAGACAGATAGATCTCAGTAAGTTTGTTATTTTTGTAGATTTGAGAGCAGTAAACTTCTTTTTTATCTTAGCTTTTTTCATTGAAATAACATTATATCATTGAATATGTTTTACATTAGGCAAATATACATTTTTTCATTTAGGTATTGCTTCAGCAACTTTTACAAATGGTAATGTCTTTTATTTTATTAAACAAGAAGAGAGATTTATTTGAACATTTATTGTTTATTTGAACATTATTTATTATTTATTGTTTATTTGAACATTACCATTTATTATTTATTTGAACATTACCAAAATAGCTTTTTTTATTTAATTTTTTTTTATTTAGTTATTTCTTCAGTAGCATCAACCTCCCCAGGTTAATTTATACATTTAATTTTTAACAAATGTTTATTATCATCATGCTTAAATAAATTATCTTATTAATTAAATAAATTGATTTATTAATTTCATTTAGTTGTGTCATTTGCAGCATCGACCGTCCCAAGTAACAATACATTTATATTGATTTTTTTCTTGAAAAACTAGCAATAAACATTCTTTATTGGAACATTATGTTCAGGATTTAACAAAATATGCATTTTTTAAATATTTATATATTTTTCATTTAGTTGTTTTAACTGTTTCATCCGCCACTTCTGCTAACTTATATATATTTTTTGATTTGTTACTTAAAAAAAGACAAATAATAAATATTGTTTATTTGAACATTATAATCAGAATTAAATTAACTTTTTTAATATGATTTTTATTTAGCTGTTTCATTGTCATCATTAGTCTCTTCAGGTAACTAATTTTTTTTTTTTTGGTTATTTTTTGCTTGGGTCAAACATTTTCAAATCTTTAAGTTAGCATGTCAATACTTTTAGATATCAATGAAGTATCAAGTAAGTTATATTAGTATTCAGATTTCACTTTTTACTTTAATTAAATAAAAAATTAAATAAAAAGTTTTTTTTATATATATTTCAGTTCTAAGGCAACAGATTGGTAAGCAAAAATATATCATATGTCTTTATCTCCCCAAAGCTTGGTAGGCTGTTACAGTTAAGGATGCTACTTTAATTGTGGTTGCAACCCTTTCTCAACTTAAAATTAAAATTTTAAAACACTAACATTGTAAAACAAGGCCACTGTGCTAAGAAACAAGTTAAGTGCAGTACTACCAGGTACATTTGACCTTATAACTATACCACTATACACAATAACCATGTAAAGTAATTATATTTACTAATAAATAAAATAATGCACTTACCAATATATAAAATTATTTTTTTTTTTAATTTTAATTCACCTCATCAAGGCCGAGAAGGCCACTACAGACGAGGAGGCTACTTATTTGTGGCTATAACCCTCTCTCAACTCTATAACTCCGAAACACGAACCTTGACAAACAAGGCTGCTGCGCGGAGAAACGAGTTGAGCGTGGTACTACCAGGGATGTGATGGGGATCGAACTCGGAACCACTCGTTTATGAAGCGAGCGCTCTACCACTACACCACTACCGCATATATTTACCAATGTATATCTTATGATGAATATTCTAAAATATATCATTCAAGATATATTTAAGGAATTATATTAAATTTTCAAGTTTTTTTTTAAGTTCTTCTGCAAAGGCGAGTTGGTAAGTTGTACATACTGTTTCCATATTTTTAAAGGATAATATTTTTTCATTTTAACAATATTTTTAACATTTTTATATATATCTTTGTTACATCATTTTTATATATATCTTTGTAGGGGAAAAAAATTCAAATGTTCCGTTAGTTTTTTTTATCTAGATGAATTGTCAACAAACAAATTTTCCAATGGTGAAATTTTATCATGTCTTTTCTAAGTGTTTTTATTTATCTTTTAGCAAGAAAGACAAACCTGTAGATATATGTTTATTATGTTTAGGTATACAAGCTAAAGCCCCAAACGGTAATTTTAAATTCTTACTTACAATACTATTACCTGCTTTAATGAAGTAAAGACTTGACTATAAATAAAAGAATTAAGAAAAAATGATGGAGAACATTTTATTTATTCTAATTTTGCTCCTTCAGTTAAATTTATTAAAGTATAAATTAATTTTTATTTTTAGAACTTACATATGAAGATTATAAACGCTATCAACTAAGCAAGCCTGGTCCTTTGACCCAAAGATCATTTCAAAGATGGGTGCAGTATAAGGGGTCAGACCACCCATCATTTAGATGGGGTGGTCAATACTCCCCATACATGGGTCGAAGGACCGAGGAAATAATAAAAAAATTTCATGTCTACAATTGAAATATTAGTAGACATGAAAGTTTATAAATGTGTGTGTATATATATATATATATATATTATATATATATATATATATATATATATATATATATATATTTATATATACATATATACATATATATATATATATATATATATATATATATATATATATATATATATATATATATATATATATATATACATACATATATGTAAATATATATATACACATTTTCTTTTTTTTTTTTGTAAATAATTTTTCTTTTCTTTAACAGTATGTATGTGTGTATATATATACCTTTTCACTAATCACTTTTATAAAAATTAAGAAAAATTCTTTTTGTAAAAAAGAATTTTAAACAACTTAGTTGCCTAAACATTTTTCCGCAATTTTAAAATAAGACATGGATAGTTTTCTATGCATATAATTTAAGTCATAATATATTTAGTTTGTTATGATTAGCGCAAAATGTTCAAACATTTCAAAATAAATTGGTTAATTGTATTTATAAATAAAGCTAAGAGTTATGTTAAGGAGTCGAGAACAATAAAAGTGAACAGAACTAAAAATATATAAAGTGAGCAGAATTAAAAATATATAAAACAAATTTATATTTCATAAGAGAAAATAATAAATTGATATTAATGATACTAATAACCTGTATTATTAATAATTTATTTACTAACAACCCGTATTACGGGTTGCTTTATTTATATTATTCTATTAAGTCTATGGTGTTATATAGAAAATTTAAATTAAAAAATTAAAACTTGATTAAATTTTGAAAAATCAAAAGTTTTAATCCCCAAGAATTTGTAAAAATGTAAAGTTCTTTTGCTTTATTGTTTTTACTATTTCATACATCTTTTGCAAGTAAATTGTTCTTAATATTTTTATTTTTATTTTACACTAATCTTTATTTTAATTTAAAATAAAAAAGTTACTGTTGTTTAGAATGTCCGCAATCAAGCATGTTAATTCTACTCTACACACTTGCGTACATAATTTATGGATGTCCCCACAGCAACCAATTTCCAACTCAGAATATCGCTCTCGAAGACTTATTGCCGAGCATGCATTATCGCACATGTTGATAATGTGATTCTGTATTACTAGCGCGAAAAATTGCACTGGGCGATTTTATTCATCACATGCACTGATATATATATATATATATATATATATATATATATATATATATATATATATATATATATATATATATATATATATATATATATATATATACATAAATATATATATATGTATATATATATATATATATATATATATATATATATATATATATATATATATATATATATATATATATATATATATATATATATATATATATATATATATATATATATAAAATACATCCAATTATCAAGCCCTCTTTTTTTTTTACTTTTGATTTAAAAACTTTTTTTTGTTGACTTGATGTTTAAAAAAACAATTTTTAAAATTTCCTAATATAATGATATGAAAAAAAAATAGTATCAAATAGAAATTGTAATTAAATTTTTGCTTATAATTATTTTTACTCAACTAAATTTAAAAAATTGACAAAACATAATTACACATTTTCCAATATCTCAACACCAATATGTAAGCAATTAATATTGATGATTTGAATTTAAATTGTAACAATTAAGTTTTTTGTTAAGTATTATAATATTATTAACTTTGTAATATAATATTTATATCAACAGTATTAATGAATATAATTGCTATAATAATTACAAAAAAAAAACATTCTAAAACTCTGAGATGTGGTATATGGAGATGTGAAACCACTTGTTTTTACAGTGGTTTTCCAGGCCCAAGCCAGGCATTCGACACATACCCTAAAAACAGGCAAAAAAATCCAAGCTAAATAGCTAGCACATTTATGTTCCGGGTACCCAGAATAAACTTCCAGATACCCGGTCAGAGCTGGGTACCCATCATTTTTCCATTCCAGCAGTTCTACTGGGTACCCAAAATACATATGTGCCAAGTACAAACTTGGATTTTTTCAACAGTTTTCCCAGGTACTTTTATATATAGATGTGTCAGGTCTGAATAGTTAGACAGTTAAATGAAAATTGAGACCAAGCCAGTTAAGCCAGGAATGCCAAATAATGAAGAATCAATCAAGTTTAAAACCACTCATACTATACCAATGAACTCAACATTAATTGTGAAAAAAAAGTTGAACAAAGAGATAAAAATATAGAAGTATAAATGAAAATACCTGAATAGCTGACATTAGTTCTTTGTTATTCATATCTAACTTGCTTGTTAAGCAAAATGTAATATCTAAAACAATTTTCTAAATTTAAAACTTATGAATTGTCACTTAATTAAAGAACATATTATTAAATATAAACATAATAATAAAATATAAAAATACAAAAGTATATATAATTATGAAGCAAATCATTTAACAATATATGAAAAAATGAGTTTTTTAATTGAAGTATAACTTAAACATTTTACCTCGCAAAAAACGCAATTAGAGATATGTGAATAGAGATTATTTTGTTTTTAACAATAAGCAAACTTTATTGTTAATTAAACAAGAATTTTTAACAAAATCTTTTTTAAAAAAAAGATTAATATAATATGAAATAAACCATTATTAGTTTTCTGCCTCCCAAATTTTTAGCACGAGCACAATTTTTTACTCTTGTAACTAAATTAGCTAGCGTTTTTTATCGCGTGCCCGCAATTTATAAATATTCCATTAAAGAACGTGTTTCAATTGACGGGAACAATCGCTCCCACTTAATGCCAAGGCCTGATATATATATATATATATATATATATATATATATATATATATATATATATATATATATATATATATATATATAGTGCTCAATACAAAAGTAGAGCACTGGCTACTGAAATATATAATGTAATCAATTTATATAATTGCTTAACTTAATACTGCTCATTTGTGCGCGTTTACACAGAGATTTTTACCATACTTGGTCTTTCAGTTTTATTATAAACAGGATTTTTCAATTTTCTAAATTGTATTTAAAGTATATTGATCTGTAATTTTTAAGTTAAATGACAATGATGACTCTAGAAGACATTGCTCTTTTCAAAGGTTAGGAAGTCAAAGTCTTGATAAAGTTAGTGTTTATATTCAAAAACTTTTTATCTCACGCGGTCAACTCTATGTTACATTTTAAAGAACAAGGTCATTTAATACCTTAATTTAAAGAAGTTAAAAAAAAATCCATTTGCTTTTATATAAAAAACCAGATCATTTGTTTTCCCAAGTTTTTAAACATTTATTGCGAGGTATGTCATTAAACAAACTTTACAAAAATAAAGTTGTATTCGTAAAGTTTCTAAATCATATATTTTTCTTAATTTATATTTTTATTTTTATTTGTGTGTTATTTATTATGTGTTATATGTGTTAAGGTTAGTATTTTGTAAGTGTAAATATCTTTTATATATGAGTATTTCTATGTTATATAATGTTATATGTGATATGTTATTTGTTTATAGTTTGTAAGTGGTTATTATGTTATTTGCATGGTTTCAAATTGTTGTGACTTGGCTTAGATTACAGCAAGAGTGTTGACCTTGCGAGCCAAGTAGTGTACTTTGCTATAATGTAACTTGGCTTTGTTGGGAGCAAGATTTTTATCCATGCCAGTTAAGTGGTGTACTGTCATGATGAAACACATAAATTAAATCTGTTTGTAGTTAGTGTAGTCATAAAAAGTGTTATTAAATAGTGTTGAAAGAATGTGTTTATATAAAATGTTGAAATGATATATAGTTTTTTTATATCTATAATTTTTTTAATATTTATAACTTTAAGTAAATTTTATTAAATAGATTATTTATACTCCATTAGATGTTTTTTATACTTTTTGTGTAAATTTGTTTAAAAGATACATACGCTGTTCTTTTGTTAACAACTAATGCTTTTTATGATAAATTTTATTAAAACACTGGCTTCCTTTTTACAAATAGCTCCTCCTCATTTAAACATTTACGAGTCTTTATTTCCTTCATTAAATATGTTTAACTTGAATTTGTTTATTTTTTTATAAATGTATGTGTACAAAGTGTTACATAAGTTTTAGTAACTTTCATTAAATTTTTAGGATTTTTTGTATAGAAAATTTTATCTCCATATTAATATTTTAATGTTTTATATACTGACTATTTTTTTTTAGAATACTAAAAAAAGAAAAAAAATATTTTGAGGAAGTTTCAGTATTTTCAAGCCTCTTTACTTAAAGCAAATATATGATTGTTTATAGAGGTTTCCTATTAATAGTTTTGTATTTACTTATTAATTGCAAACCTTGGATTAAATACCTTTCAGATTAATGAAAGGGATTTTTTGATGAAATTTTTTGATGAAATTTTTTGATTACATTTCACCATTCAATACTGAGCAGTATTTGCTGAGCAGACAGCCCTTATAATTTTTTTAATTTGCTTTATTTATGACTTTTTTTAATTACTTTTTATTGTTTTTTTTATCAAATACTAATAATATTTTGTTGATAATTATTAATAACTACATTAAATACATAACATTAGTTATATTAATTTATTTATAACTTTAGTTTAATTTTTGATAGAAATATGTTATCTTTACCTATTGCTATATTATTTTTTAACATCTTTTTTAAATACGACTATTAGTAGAGGTAGAATATAATTAGATTATTATATTATACTCTGTTTTATTTGCTTACACTTTATTTAAGATAAGTTAAGAAAAAAAACTAAAAGTTTAGTCTTGAAATAAAAGTGCAACTTTTAATTATATTAAGCATCATTTTTACACACTCCTTTGATGCTTAGTTATGTCTGATAATTAAAGAAGTAAAATTATAAGGCTTCGTTGAAATTAAAGAAACCAGGCTATGCAAAATGAATATAACTGTCTCCAAAAATAAAAGAGATGAGCTTAGGCTAGCTGAGGTAAATTGTAGTTAAAATGAAAGAGATTTTGAAATGAAAGTTGTATGAAAGGTTTTAATACAACCAATTTTATGTAACATTTTCTAAAATCAAGTCATTTGCATTACACATGCAGAACAAGTCATTTGCATAACATTTGCATATACACATGCATAAGCAAAGTATCTCATTGAATGAAAATTTCACAAATGTTATGTTTGTAAATGTTCTTAATATATAGTTTTTGATAAGTATTTTTAGGTGTCATATGATGTGGCAATGTGTGTTTTTATTATGTGTTATATAAGACAATATAGGTTTATACTTTGTTAGCGCTTCTATGTGTGTGCTGTTAGTAGTTAAAATATGAACAATACGCTCTGAATAACTCAATAACCTTTAACTTAAACTAATTTTAAAATTTCATTTGAGCCTTTATTTATGGATTATACTGACAATAACTCTAGCATTCTCTAACAAACTATTTTCTTGTTCCCCTTCAAGATTTATATAATTTAAATTTTACTGTAATATGTTATATTATTTATTAGATTTGTAATGTTGTTATTGTGTTGTTTTGTGTTAATATATTAGATGACATGGTTTACTTTCACGTCAGGGTCTTTAGTTTAAAATGGTTATTTGGTAGTTTCATGACTGAAACTACATGTAATAATTTACTAAAAGCTAAAGATTCAAATAAAACAAAGGTATATCTTATTGTGATCATTTATTTTTTAAAAAGTTGTTAATCCTAACTTGCAACAATAAATCTTGAAACTTTCACATAAGATAAACAACCTCACAAAGTAAGTTTCTCATTTGTTATCTGTTTAGTCACATCTTTGAGTTTTTAAATAAATAAATAGAGCTCATAACAAATCAATATGTATTAGGTGTATTCAATAATAATTTTGTTCCATTTTTAGGTCAAATTCCTTCTCCTATGACTGATTATGAAAGTTCCTACTTAGCAGAATTTAAGAAATGTTCTGAATGTTGATTTTATTCAAAAAGCTAAAATGAAGCTTGATAATCTTTATACCATTTACTAAAAGATATATAATAATGAAAGAATGTTTCAAATTAAATTGTTTTATAAGTATTTTTGATACTTGTTTATGTTAAATACAAAATTTTTTTATAGTTTTTTTTTTTTAAGTTTATTTTAACTCAAGAAAATATTTTTGTTTGTTTCTCAAATAAATTTCTATATTTTTTATCTTTGGAATTATTGTTTTGAATGGATTTATTGGTTATTTTTGCTTTGTTTTTTATATTTTCCATCTTTTTATATGTGAATGGGAACCATTTATACTTTAATCACCTTTTGTACACTTAAGAAGGTTTCCATTTGCATTAAGTATCGATTGCACAAACAACAGGTTTGGCAACTGACCTGCTGGTACTAAAGCCTCTAACTTCTGCATTTCTTAATATATTACTAAGTTAACTTTGTGATTTGTTTTCCTGAAAACCCTAATCATTGACCTCCACTCCATGATTTATGCCATGCCTCTGACCCTAGTTTGTGTTCAGTTTCTCTTTTTCTCCGTTAGGTGGTTCTGACTATACAATGATTTCTGAAATCTTTCATCATATACTTCTTTTTGAACTCACCCTATCCTTGCACTATTTACTACAACTCTAAAGTTGACTGGAATTCTTTTTGTGATTTTCTTTATGACAGTACTTTGGATGATGTCTTTTCTCTCTCAGCTTAAAAATGTGCCTCCTACATAACCTCCTGGATTCAGATAGGAATGCAAGCTTTTATTCCTTATTCCTTTTTATTCCTTATATATATATATATATATATATATATATATATATATATATATATATATATATATATATATATATATATATATATATATTTATATATATATATAAATATATTTATTTAAATATAAATATTTATATATAATATTTATATATAAATATATTTATTTATATATATTTATATATAGATATATATATTTATATATATATATATATATATATATATATATATATATATATATATATATATATATATATATATATATATGCGGAAAACATTAGGCTGTAATTAATTGTTGTAAAAAACATTTGTGGAATATTTTTTTATTAGATAAAAAAACATAGATTTTTTTTATTTTTATTATTTTTTTTAAATATTTTTAATTTATTTTACTAAATTTAAATTAAATTTATTATTAAATTAAATTATTTTATTTTATCAAATTTAACCAAAATTCTTTTAAAAATTTTAAAACACTTTACATTATTTATTTATTTAGTTTATTAATTTATCATGACTTAGTTTTACAGAACTTTAGTTTACTATCATTACTTAAAAAAAAAAGTTTAGCAATTTTTTTTTTTTTTTACTGCAAAATTTTTAAACATGTTAAAAAGTTAAAATGTAACTTTATGTACTTTAAAATATTCACATTACATATAACTTTATTTTACATTTCAGTTTTGAAATTGCTTTTCATCATAAGCTTTTTTTTTATTATTAATTTTGATTGACTGAACATCAATTTAAAAATGATTAACTAGTTTATGAGTAGTATACGAAGACTTTGTTGAAGCCAAATTGTTAAAAAAAAAGGTTGATAGTTTTTATTTATTTTTTGACCGTTAAAGAGAATAAGATTATAAATTTTAATTAATTTTTTTTTCTTAAAGGTAAGTTCCAGTTCTACGATTTAAAAAATACTGGTCTATATAAGGCGCTTTTGTAGTTAATAAATGACGTGAACACAAAAAAAAATTTAACTTTGAGTTATAAATGTTATGTTTTAGTAGAATCTTATTATTTTTTTTATAAAACGAACCAAACTTTTACAACCAAATAAAAATAACACGATAATAAGTAAACGCTTTAAAAGCCCAATTTATATTTAACTTATAAACAAAAAAACTAATACTAGTGCTATAGATATAAGATATGTATATTTCAAAAATATACTGATATTTGTTAAAAACAAATTCTACTCATAACATCTTAAAACCAGAAATACCATAATTTTTTTGGGATTCAGTAAGAAAGAGTAAAAATACATTAGGTTTCACGGTAAATGAAAATGAAATATTTTAATATTTTTAATTAAAAAAAACAAAGCAGAAAAGCGGTAATCTTCCTTTAATTACAACTTTTATTTTGCCAAAAGCAAGTAAAAACATTTTAGTAAAACTAAACACTGTTGCTCGCGCAATGGTACTGTCACTTTAATTTTTTTCATTAAGTCACTGTCCACTGTGCCTATCCCTAAATCAGTCAATGAATGTGTGCTCCACTTCACCTATTCCTAAATCAGTGAATGTATGTAGACTCACTGTGCCTATCCCTAAATCAGTGGATGTATGCTCACTGCACCTGTCCCTAAATCAGTGGATGAATGTACACTCACCCTATATTAGTCGATATATGTAAATAATAAAAAATCAATGTAACTTTCAATATACAACAATATTAATAAATTTTAATAAAAAATAGTTAAAAAATATTTAAAAACATTTTTCTTAGTGAAGGACTCAATCCCAGATCTCCGTGGAAGATAAACCAATGAGATACTACATTACAAAAGGCAAATGTAGATTTGTGATTCTTTTAAAATTTGTATAAATAAAACTTTAAAAATCAAACAATAATATTTGCAGCCGTGACTTAAAATAAACCAATTAAACTTTAATACCGTGACGTTAAGATAAAAAATTAAAGCAATGGCACCGTTGCGCTAGCCACAACGAAAACTAAAATATTTTTTATATAAACGTTTTTTTTTATAAAGGAGAAAACCCAATCTAATTGTATAGTTGTGTAAACCTTTTAAAAAATTCAACTGTAAATAAGTATCCTCTCATTAAAAAAAAAAGCAACCATAAATCGAATGTTTAAAGAAGAAAATAAAAGATTTTAAAACAAGCAAATTTCTTTTTTTTTTTAAACAAAATTTAAATTATATTTATAACTTTTTTTTATAACAATTTTGTTTACTTTAAAGATATTTCATAAAGATAAAGACTAACAACAACTTTTAATGTGGTTTCAAATTTAATTACTATGTCATAATTTCAACTTTTAACAATATAAATATCTTTATTGAGTAGAGTTACATTTACTCGCATTACACTTTTCCGTTATGCAACAAAATCTCATAACAAGGCATGTATATATATATATATATATATATATATATATATATATATATATATATATATATACATATATATATATATATATATATATATATATATATATATATATATATATATATATATATATATATATATATATATATGTTTCAAAGTCATATTTTGTTGTACGTGAATATATATATATATATATATATATATATATATATATATAAATATATATATATATATTTATATATATATACATATAATAACTTATTGAGTAATGCGCTTGTTTTAGGAATAATAATGGGTAAACTAAGTGATGTTTTCCCACGTAAATTAGCTAAAGCAGCTGTTCTTCTGCAAGAAACAGATGGCACCTAAAAAAGTATAGCAAAAATAGTAAAAGTCTTGCAGGCTACAGTAAGAAGAATAAGTTCCAAACTCAAAATGGGGGTCAAATTAGAACCGCATAGAAAAGGTTGGTGTGGTTGAAAGAGAATAACAAGTACTAGAGTTGACAGAAAAATCAAAAAAGTTATTGAACAAAATCGCAAGATTTTGTTCAATAACTTTTTTGAACTTTTTTGATAACGCCAGCAATAAAACTGAAAAGCGTTTTGAAAGACCAAGGCATCAACATTTCACTTGGATCTTGAAGAAGGAGAAGTTATGAGTTAGGATTTATGTGTAGAAAACTACTAAAGAAACCTACGCCTGCCATGATTAAAAAACGTCTTGCTTGGGCTAAGAAATACTCTTCTTTTTCTCAAGATGACTGGAACAAGGTAAATTTTATATTTTTTCTTTCCATATACTTAAACAAATTATATTTTCTTGTTACAAGTATTCAAAAGATGTTTTTGAATAAATTTATTACCCCAATTAAAATTACTAATGTTTGAAAAATTATAGAAACACAACAAAAATTAGCTACAGCTGCTCAAACAACATTTCAAAAATTATAAAAAGCCACAACAAAAAAATAAATTTAATTAACACCACTCTTGCAATTGCAAACAAAAAGATATCTGCCCACTGAATAAAAATTTTAGACAAACATCATTTACAAATGTATAAAATCTTCCCTAAACATACAGCAAAACATACATTGGTTTATCAGAAGGAGTGTGGAAAAAAAGGTATGCAAACCACAAGCAATCGTTTTCAAATAAGAAACTTTCAAATGCAACCACCCTCTCAAAACATATACTAGAGAAAAACTGAAAGATATACCAGAACTAACTTGGTCTATCCTAAAAAATCCCTCGCCTACAACAATACAACAACAAAAAAAAATTATAAATTCGGTAAGTACTTAGGAAGTATTTATTCAGCTGCAGCCATATCCCGGCACTGACTATTTTATCAAAGATGATCCCAGCCTTATTAATCCTCATCAGATAAAAGTCTTTAAAAAATCTTCGATTCATAATTTTCAAAAACCAATACTATCTTAAAAATCTATACAGTCGGTATAGATTTTTAAGATTATAGAATTAAGGTTGGCATTTGGCAATGCCAATCTAACTGCCGACCTGAGAGTGCTTAAGATTTTAAAATTTTAAAAACTAAATTTCATTTGCTATTTCAAGTAAATTTAAAACTGCAAAACAAACTTTATTTAAATTTTATATAAAGTAATTACAAGAAAAAAGAAAAAAACAAACATTTTATCTTAATTCTCTTAAAAATATTTAGAATAAAAATAAAAAAGTGAGTTTTTTGTAAATTCTAAATAAAATAATTAAAATAAAAATGAAAAATAATTGTTTCATGTAGATTCTAATAAAATCATGAAAATAAAAATGAAAAAAATCATGAAAATAAAAACAATTGCTTTACTTAAATTCTATCTAAAATAATTAAAACAAGTAAAACAATTATTTTATTTAAATTTTAAACAAATTAATTCAAAAATGCCACAGCAAAACAACTGTTTTAATTTAGATCCAAATAAAATTATTATTTATATAAAAAATACAAATATAAATTTTTAGTTACACTGTCTTGATAATAAAAAAATATATATTTATTTTTAAAAAACTTTTTTGTTCTTGACAAAGATAGAAAATTGTCTTTCCTGTTATGGACTGTTTATTCGAATCAACTATAATAAACACTGATTATGAATTATAAGTTTTACCTTTTATATCAAAACTTGAACTTTTGTTTGAAAGTGGAGGAGCAGACGATGACAATACACTAATCAAGCTCAAAGTTGAGTAATTCATTCTACTTTTATTGTTCATACTTGAATTATTATCATTTTCAGCGTCCATAATTATCAGCTAATTTAACATATTATTATATTTAGTAATAACTACTATTTTGTTAAAATTATTATTTTTATAATTTATTATGCACAAACAAATATATATATATATATATATATATATATATATATATATATATATATATATATATATATATATATATATATATATATATATATATATATATATATATATATATATACACGCGTGTAAATATAAATATATAAAAGATCTTTTATTAAACCATAAAATTACTGTATAAAATTATCGAAAGTTAAATAATTACACTTGGGCTTAAAAGTATTACAACAACAAAGACTTCCTCATAAAAAATATTAAAAATTGTCAGGTCTTCCTAATAAAACTTCTAACTCCATTATATACATTTAAAAAATATGGTATTATTATGATTAACTAATATACTAATGCCATAAATGTTCCAAAAAAAAGTACAACTTATAAAATTATTTAGTTTAATATATATAGTATTTATAGTATATATAATAAAATATATCTCATATTTCATTTATTTGTTAATTAAATAATATTCATCAATAAGTTATTCGCTAGCTAACTACGCGCGGAATAATGCAATTTATTTCGATTGGTTCGTTAGATTGATATCATAATAATTGATCCTTTAAATTACAACTCAATTACTTAATTCTTGTAATGACATTTCTTGTTGTATTAGAGTATTAAATATGGTAAATAAACATAAAGCACGGTTACGTACTAACTATATTTTGTTTGTAATATTTTAGTTAGATTAGTTCAGACCGTCATCAATATTTAATGTAATAAAACATTTAATGTAATAAAACTCATGTGCTTCGTATTGTATATGAGCAATAGGATTACTTTGTGTAAGACCCTCAGTCTAATGCTTTACCCAAAATAAAACATCTTGTTTTTTTTAAAAGTGGCGCTTTTTCAAAAAAAATTTACTTGTGTTAATTTGAAACCTGAAGGAGAACAGTGGCTTAAAACTTTTACACGATATAACGTACAATTTTAAAAAAAATAAATAAAGTTCATTATATTTTTAAACATAATCTGAAACATAATAAGTTTTTGAAAAACTTGCAACAATTTTCAATTATTATTTGTTTTTTTTCAATTAATAAAAATTTCGTTGTTAAAAGCTCCGTTAACATTAAGGGCCGTATTTTTGTCTCTTAAAAAAGCGATGAAATTGCTGACTATGACTCTTCTAAGCTTAATGGATTCAATTCGGGTGCAGGATAATAACTAAATTAATAATCAGGAGCGGATCAAGGCTGTAGCAAGTGTAGTAACTGCTACACTTGCTACACTTGCTCACTTGCTGAGCTGACTGTAGCAACTGCTACAGTCAGCTCAGTTTTTTTTTTTTATCTTTCTATTTTTTAAATTCATTTTTTTTTTTTTTTCATGAGAGAAACCCATTGTTTTTAACGAGATAAAGAAATAGAAAAAATAAGAAAAACCCATATTTTTAACGGGTTTTATCTCACATGCTCATAAATTTTTGAAAGAAAGTCAAATATTTTGCAGCCTATCAACTTAAAACATATAACAGTCAATAACAGACGCTACTTTGGATTAGTCTGAATGACTATTTGGGGCTGTTCCTATGCTAAGCCAACGATATCTTCGGATATAAGAACATTGTATAGAAAAATATAACATGAAAATTCAAATAAAAAATAAAAATAAAAAAGTATTAAAAGTCAATTTGTCATATTTTGAAACAACTCTATATATACCCCGATAATTTATTAGATATTGAAGCTATTTAGATGCAATCTTTTTATTAACAAAGAGGTCTTACTTAGTGATTAAAAGTTATCAAGCGCGAACCTGTAGCAAAAAAAAAATTGTGTAGCAAAGACAGAAATCCTGTTAAATATCCACTCTCCGTTTATAAAACATTTTTTAATGAAGTGAGTGGTACCTTTAAGATACTATGACTCAAAAAACGAAGATCAGATATCATACTGATTTAGGGAGAAATGTAAGAGAGTGCTGCTACATCGACTGATTTAGGTAAAACATGCAAATTAATGCTGCTGCATTGACTGAAGGTTTGGGATGGGGCAAAAATAAATCAGTCGATGTAGCTGCACTTTCTTACATTTCTCCTTTTGGGTAAGTTGGGTAGCAAACATTAAATGAAAAAGATTTTATAATTATAAAGACTAAATTAAATGTCTGTTGGTTTCTTTATTTAGTCTATTATGAAAATGGTGAAATTTATTTATGTTTATGAATAATGGTGAAATATGTTTATTGCTGTTCTATGAGTTATTTATCATTGGAGAAGTCAAATGATTTAAAAACGTTTTAAAAATTTATAGATTTCCTAAAGAGAAAGAAAAGAAAACACGTTGAATAAAATGTTTACCTATGCGAGTTTTAAAACGTCCAGCAACACTTTATTATATGATCTGATTGACATCAAAACTTCAAAAAGGTTATTATTCTAAAAATGCATTTAACTTTCTCCTACTTTTTTTTTTAATTTGGAAATTTTTACTAGGAACTATTATTCTCTGTGACAAGGTGTTTGTTACAAAAATGTTATTGTATTAGGAAGTTGCTGTTTTGGGAAAACAATTGATATATTTTCTCTTTTGAAAAGTGTTTTAGATGTTATGATAACTTGTAATACAAGTTATATGTTTAATGGTCCTAAATTTCTTTTGAAAATGTTGTGAAAACCTGTAAACAGATAAATTCCTAATTTTTATGCTTTAATGCATTACTTAATTGAAGTTGAGTGTTATCATCACAATATACTTTCCTTTATTCATTTATTTCCTTTATCCATATAAAAAATCACTGAAAACTTTCTACACCAAAATCAAACAAACAGTTATGTTGTTCTTAACAAAGAACAACCGTATTAAGTTTGTCGTGTTAGGTTGACATTTATTCATTGACACTTTTGTTTTTATTATTTGCTGAGATTTGTTGATTGTATAGTTGTTAATTGTAGTATGCCTGAAGTTTGCTGTTTTTATATTTTAAAAGTATTCCTTATTTATTTAAAGCATTTATATTTTTATCCATCCTTATTTATATTTTTTATTGAAAAAGTTTAGTTAGTTTAGTTCTATTTTTTATTTGGTTTTCTTTATTTGGTATTCTAACTCCATTATATAGGGTAACGCGGGGCAAAATGAGACAGCGGGGCAATACGAGACAGTTCGCGTTTAACATAATGCCAGTCCTACAAATTATTATTTGCAAGATTTTTAAAAGTGCAGTTGTGTTCAAAAACTATTTTGTGTCAAGAAAAATATATTGAGTCACTTTGAAATAAAAAAGTTGAGTAAAACGGGAATCATTTCATCCCTCGACTTTGCGAAAATTACGAATTTTTAAGAGTTGTTATTATATTTTTTCCTAGCCTTTTTTGATCTCACTGAGTGGAAAAGCTTTTTATATTTAAAGTTTTTTTTTAATTAGAATCTTTAGGCCTTTTTCTATCATTTCCATTCTTTCGTATTTTATTTCTTCAATAAAATAGTCTGGAAATTAGGCAATTCGATGCCAACATGATGCGGGGCAAAATGAGACATTCTGTTTGTATTTTGTTTTGCCAATATCTTATATTATGTTTATTTAATTTTTTACATTAAAACAACGACCAAAGCAAATATTTAGATGCTGTAGATTTAAATTTATTATACTGTATTTACTTACTTTTTATTTTGTTAATTGAAATGCTTAGTTATCCAATATAGAATTACGTTTTATATTTTGTTAACTTATATTTAAATATAATAAATATTTAATCAAATTGAAGCAAATAATTACCTGATGTTTATAATTACTATGTTTAGATTTTATAATCTTATTGTGTTGTAATAAAGTAAGTAGTATATAAAATATATAGTGAGTAGATTATAACATATAGGTTATTGCAGTACCTATGAACAAAATACAATGAATGTTATGCGTGCTTTAAATACATAAGTTTAATATACGCATGTATGGTTTTATTAGTTCTTGAAGTGGATATATATGTATATATATATATATATATATATATATATATATATATATATATATATATATATATATATATATATATATATATATATATATATATATATAAACATATATATATATATATATATATATATATATATATATATATATATATATATATATATATATATATATATATATATATATATATATATATATATATAAACAGCAAACTTCAGGCATACACAGCCAGGGCTCATTCGGACTGTTGTTTGTTTCAAAATACTGGTCAAGCAATATGTGATTTATGTGACTAGTTACAGTTTGATTATAGCTGTAATATATTATAAAATGTGTTTTTAGCTAATCCTCTTAAAGATCTGTTTTTTTTAACTTTATTTATTTAAATTGCTAAAAAAAAAAATCTGTCTCATTTTGCCCTGGTATGCGGGGCAAAATGAGACAGGATAGGTGCTGTCAATAAATGATCTCTGGTGATCAAACTACTGCAGTTTTGCAACTCATACTTTTTAGGCTTCAAGTAGGATCGTAGAAGAATTGAAAAATATCAATTTATTTTTTCAAAAGTTTTTAGACGGGCCGTATTAGATATATTAGCGCTTAAGTGTCTCATTTTGTCCCTCGTTACACTACATTTAAAAAATATGGTATTATTATGATTAACTAATATACTAACGCCATAAATGTTCCAAAAAAAATAACAACTTATTATATTATTTAGTTTATTATATATACTATTTATAGTATATATAATAAAATATATCTCATATTTCATTTGTTAATTAAATAATATTCATCAATAGTTATTCGCTAGCTAACTACGCGCGGAATAATGTAATTTATTTCGATAACAGGTTAAACCTGTTTTTTTTTTTTTTAATATTTGACAAATAGTTTATTGTAATGAAGAAATAGAGTTTATTATTAGAAATATGAAAATACTTATAAATTGTTTTTATAAATTTATATAAATCGTTACAATATCTACTTTAATTTTCAGATATTTTATAAAGTAAGCCATTAAACAAAGCATAATGTGTTTTAAAACATGTTTTAA